ACTTGGTGGTGAGGGATGGAGTTACATTCGTAGCTCGTTGCCAAGTGTTAAAACACTCCCTGGGACGTTGTTATTTCTGTAAGAGTATCGGCCACTATCATTTTACACCCACCCTAAAAACCAAGAAGGGGGAAAAAAACGGAGAAAGAAGCTGGTTTGTGAACCGCCTCCGCCTTTTTCTACTTAATCTGTACCACATGGTAGATAGATCCTGGTTGCTCGGTGAGTTTTATTTTATAAAACATGATGGATTATTATTATTAATAAAAAAATATTATGAGTCGTGCGTCTCGGATAAAGTTTATATCTTTAAAATAATAAATAAAAATTAAAAAAAATAATAATAATAACAACAATAATGGTCATGTGATCAAATCATCCGAAAGCATCCCGAGCCGACAGTGTTGCCAATGTAAACAGACACTGCCAAAAATATAAATTGTTTTTTTTTTTTTTCTTTTCTTTCTTTTGAAAATCCATTATACGTGATTAATTCTACTCTAATTACAATAGAAAGGGGAAGAGGATTATTAAATGAATAAATAAATTGGCTAATTTCTCCTTAAGGTATTTAAAGAAATGCGGCGAAATCCGAAATTGTGTATTTCCGAGAGATCCATTTTTAACATCTCTTAATTTAAATACCCTTGCTTATAATACTGCGTGTAAGTTGGATGTAGGAAACCGACACTAGAAGAAAATGTGGCGCAATTGTGCCTCGTCCGATTCGCTACTAATTTACACTATCGTTAACCTCCCGAAAGGAGTTTAAAGGTGACAAAACGCGAGGGCGAAGTTTAAGCTTGTTTTAAAGGTATGCGGAAGGGTGACGAAGGGATGTATTTATTCAAAGTATGACCTTACTGTGGTAGGCAGTTCATTTAGTTTTTACTTTTAATGTTACAAGTGTAAAAATAAACCCGAAAACGAAATATCCACGTGGTTACCTTCAACCAGTGATGAGTTATAAATGGCCCAAACACGACTCTAGCACTTTTTATTATGCCCAAAATTGTATATTAACGTAAATATTGGCTGCCAAAAAGGGGGTAATTACTATTTTTTTTTCTTTACGCTAGCCGTTAGTTATTCGAATCTGTCATGTAGATAGGCTCCGTTGTGTAAGCAATATATTAAGCTCCATTCTATGTATAGTATACTGGATATTTGATGCTATCAGCAATTTAGCTCTTTATGTACTTCTATAATTAACTTGAGCTGTGGTAATTCTTTAAAATATCATAAAATTTTATGATATTTCGAATGTAAGTAAACCTATTTATTGTTGGGAAAAGCTTGGGTTTATTCATTTGTATCAGCACTTGCGGGGTTACGCACGAATTTGTATTTTTACAGGGAGGATTTTGCACTTGTAAGATGATTCAAGTTTCACATTCTCTGTACATTATACGGGCTCTTGATTTAACAGTTTGAGTTGTAATTTAAAAAAAATGATTTTTTTCTCCTGGAAAGGTCAAGCCTTCCACTACATAAACTCTCAATTAAATCTTCCTAAATTGCATAGATTAATCAGGATTAATCCCTTGTAATTGTGAATTTATTGAGCTGATTATATTGTTTCTATAGTGCAGATTTTGAAGATTTATTCTTGTTATTATGTCTGCGAAACAAAGCTTTAAATTTTTGTATAATATACAGAATAAAGTTCAAAATTTAAATAAGTACTTGATGGATTAAGTCGGAATTTATTTATACAAAGTTGTTGCACTTACTGAATTAAGTTTCAATTTATAACATTAGTTGTGTTGAATTGAAAAGGGATTAAAGTCGGAAGCTCTGTAAATCTCTGCAAACTTCTGCAAATAAATTTTATCTTTATCTACTAACTAAACATGTCAGGAGAGAGAAAATATATATACACGTTCATAGAAATTAAAGCTCGAATTTAACAGGTCAAAAATATATTTTTTTTAAAATAAAAAATGGAACAATAATCCTAGCAAGTATGAATTAGACAAGGCGCTGTCATGATTTCTCTTGTTTAAAAAAGCCAACTGTCCATTTTTGTTTACAGAACAGTTACAAAGGCGCCAGTTTTTTAGTTGGGTCTAATCCGGGATGGAACTCCTGTGAAGTTGCACTCTGACATTTTACCCCCATATCCAGGCTCCTTTAATTTTTATTTATTTATTATTATTATTTAACGATTTTACCATTCTTTATGAACGAATTTTAGAATTTCCTTTTATCATTTAGAAATAAATAAACAAATAATTACTTACTCAAATAGCAGGAGTATCAGATTTTCAAATTAGTAAGTGGAAGTCGAATTTCGATAAAAATCTAGCAAACGCTATTAAATTTAAAAGAAAAATAAATCAATGAAACAGCCAAAATCGAAAATACAATCATTCGCTGTCAATCGGGAAATTAAATTGAAAGAAAAAAGAAAGATATAAAGAGAAGAAAGATTGAAGAGAAGATCATCTAGATCTTTATATTTACTATTAATTTTGAACGTAAATATGTGTGTATATATGTATATTCTATGTAAAATACACTAACCTTAATCGCCATTACTAAAATAATATAGTATTAGACGAATTTTCGGCAATGTGAAGTATTTTAGTAAGCCTTAACGTAAGGTTTAGAGGTCCTTCGATACGAAAACACTCACCGGATTGAAGAGCCGTTCTCCGCTGCCTCCTAAACAGAGTCGGGCATTTAGTATCTCGGAGAGATGATGTTTGGAGTAGAGGAAGACTTAGATGCAACCTGAAGCTGGTTTTTCGTCTTCCAACGACAGAATTCGACTAATGACACGACGCAGTAACTTTAGCCGTCCTAAGAAATATTGCAGATATAGGGAACAGGAGACCAACCGTTCGTAGCTGTGTAAGGAGACTCCACAGCCACAGAATAGACAGTGTTATAACCCGGCAGTGTGTAACACGAACCCGTTGCGTGTCCCCCGTGCAGCAGGACGGCGTACTTAATGTCACGTTCCTTTCTTACAGGCCGTGTCCCGGGTTTGAGTTACGCAGTGTCGAGCTTAACAAAACTACTGTCGAATCTTTCTAAACTATAAATACACTATATAATACGCCATTTTTGTATTTGGAACGGATTAGAAGTGAATGATCGCCATCTAATCCCATTGTTTCCGTAGGAAGAGATGCGAGATTTAAATGTTTTGATAGATAATCAAGCACGATTCCGGGGTGAATGTCAATAGATATCGATCTCTTTCGTCAATAAAAGGAAGAAAAAAAGTAATTTTTGTGGACAACGACCGGAAAACCATTAGTGAGTAGATAACGCAACTTCTATACGGGGCCAAAGAATAACTGAACGATGGAAACCCGATCCTCTTACATAATTCTAAAGTAAAGTGGATCTCCCAATTTAGAAGCTGTTCTTCGATCGGATTACAGGCGGGTCCTAATTGTAGTAGTAGTAGTTTCGATGGCACAATTATAATTTAAATCGAGTAGAGTAAAAATCGTTCACGCGAAAACGTTGGCGGGGTTCTGACGATTGATTGCAACACGTTTACAAGCAGAAAAGAGTTACAGCCTCTTCTATAACGATGCTTATAAAGAGCCTACGTAAGGACTTAACTTTGGTAAACTAAATGAAAGGATTTAAACAATCGCCGCCTACTTATCGACAAAGATTATCGATTCTTTATATAAACTTGGTAGATTTAAATCTTAAAATGGTGACTATCTTATCTTTATAGAAATTATAAGGTCTCTGCTTTATTAAGGCGATGTTTGTTCAGAAAAATGTACTCATATCTCTTGATATCGAATACATCTTTGGATTTTGCGAAAGATATATCAGAACAAGTTTCATTAATTCACTTTTAATAGAGTTTTCAACGATTTTTATGTTTAACTCGGCTGCGTAAGCGAGTTTTTTTTACTTTTTATTTTTTTCTTCCTCCCAAGAGATGCAGAATTTAACCAAGTGTAAGTTAGGAAACGAATAATAAACAAAATAGCCTACACGCTCGCATGTTTAAATTCCTGTTTGAAGCGTTAAAAATCAATTTGGGTTACGTTTTACGTGATTCATCAAAGAATTTTTACTTATATCAAAATTAAACTAGTACGTGACCTTTGTGTCACGGATGATCTTTCTTACTAAAAAATTCAAAAAAAAAATCTTTTTTTGAATATAATTTTAGTTCGATCCCTTAGAGAATATATTTATATAAATTCTAGCGGCTCCTGATCATATATTAGTCCCCTGTTTTTCGTATTAAATCCAGTTTAAAATTTATACAGTATACATTATCCTATATGCATAAAACTGATACCGAAAAATCAAAAAAAGATGGAGATGCATAAGCGAGTCGATAACAGAAGATTTTATAATCGATAAAAAATCTATTATAGGCTATGTTCTGTTAAGGGTGAGTAGATCTATGTGACGGTCCCACAGCACGGTGCAGTCTATGCAAACGAAGTCACCTCAATCGCTTTAATGTCCGCATCAATGCACATCACTCGCTACTTCAGAATCACGTCATTACGGAGCTCCGAGCCGGTGGGATGTTTTGTTATTCAAAAACTTACAATCCCATGCTCTTTTACATTACGAGGAAGGCGAGGAGTTTGTTTCCGTAACGTTAAGAGGTGACGATCCGGGCATTAATTCGAATCGGTTGCGCCCACTTCAATTTTAAAAGAATACACCAGAGGAGTCGGAGTGTGCGCGCGTGTTTGTGTGTGTGTGGAAAGTTCCCCCTTTCTTCTCTTCTAAATAAATTTCTCTACACGTTAGAGAATTTTTTTCTTTTTTAAGTTGTAAATTTGTGGTTACGGGCCGGTTAGAGAATTCGGGGAACAGTACGGGTTTAGTTTACATGCAAAGTCAATAATAAATGTTTACGCATTCGGTAAAGTTACATATACTGTATCGGTCATTGAACTGTTAAGACGGAGACTCGAGCGGATAGAAAATGGAAGAGTAGAAAGGGAAAATTCAAAAATAAAAAAAAAAATAAAAAATAAGGTATAATAATAATCTACCTTGATATCTTCCTCCGGTTCCTTTTTAACGACGGCTTCGCAGTCCTCTTTGCCTCGGCGTTTCGGAGAATTCTCCGCGGCGCACATGGCTCGATGCCGTCTTTAACTGGTACTTCACCCTAACACAGACGAGTTGGCCATGCTGCCGATCGGGCGGATAGCACGCAGTCGAACACAGATGGCTGTTAAGCGAGACCACATTTCAACACACCATGGCGCGATTTTTTTACTCGGCGATCTGCGCATCCACCGCTAACGCCGCTCGCACCGGTGCCGAGGCGCTGCTGTCAACCCGCTTCGATAACTCGTTTGCCATCCGATCCCATTGGTTTATGCAGTTTTTTCTTCTTCTTTTTATTCGTCATTTTTAATGCATCTAAAATCATTTGTATGCCGTATTTAAAAATTGCAATTAAAACTGGCCGCTCGCTTATTTTAATTTATTTTATCATCGTTCGTCTGCTTTAATTCGTTACGCCGTCATGCACTCGTGGCTCCACCTCTCGTCGATTCGGCAAAAAATTTAAAATGTCGAGCCCGTTTTTTAAAAAAATTCCTATTTGTTTATTTAATGAAAGATTGCCTTTTCGTGACGTAAACTGTAAATAGAAAAAAAATTAGCGAACGTGTTTAGAAGCTAAATTCGGTTTTTTGTCGTTTGTTTACAAATTTCTAATCGCTAAAACAAATAAATAATCAAATTAATTAATTCATTTGCGAGATTTAAAATGAGAGGAGGGGGAAAAAAGTGTCCGGGATGAAAAATGGCGCAGATATCTTCTGTAGATAATTACGTATCAATCAAAATGCTTCTACAGGTACATCTGCCATAAAGGCAGCCTCTTAACCGAAAATTCGTTCAATCACAGATCAGTATTTGTAGAAGGGCGTGTCGCTAGTTAATCATACCGGAGTAAAAAATTGCAAAAGAATCGGCCAATTTTTTTTGTTTTCTTTCAGAAAAAAAAGTTTTAAAAAATTTAAAATTTTAAGCGTAAAAAAATTTAAAATAATAAAAAATTCAAGAACGCGACATTTAAAAAAAATTCCGTTAAGTGGACACTTCGCCATCTACTGTTAACTTTTTAAATCTAGTCACACCTCAAAAAAAACTTTTTTAAATATTTAAAATTTATTAATTAAAAATTAACTCAAATTGCAATTAATTAATTAATTAATTAAATTTTTAAAAAATAATAAGTAATTTTTACGATAGGTCACGATATTTTGCTATTTAATATTCATACTGGCCCGGTAGAAGTTAACGAGAATTATCCCTCCATTAGAGACCATCTGCCTCTTCTCTCCATAATTTTGAATGTCACGATTCAAGGCCACTTTTAGGGAGACAAAATCACGAATTAGAAAGGGGAGGAACCGACGTTAACTGGGTGAAACTTATATATATATAGGTTGCTTCCCTGCTTCGCATCACCTGTCTTCTCGTCTAGACATTGTCTATAATTGTGGCCAAATTAAGGTTATTTTTTTCGTATAAATCATCCCACGTATAGAAAAAAACGAGAGATTAAAATTTTTCGAGAAATTTGGAATATTTTTTCCTAAAAAAAAGTACATAATTCCGGATCAAGTAGCGTGTTTGTAAGCGAAATTGTGATTTAGTTCCGGCCCGCTTTATCACAATGGATCGCTCCGGCATTTTTTAAGGCCTTACTGCAAGTTCTGGCCACTTAATGATTTATATTCTGCTGCTTAAGATAGTTTTATTAATTAATTTTATTATATATTAGTCGTTACGGCGTTTAAAACTGTGTAAAAACTTTTTTTTTTTTTTGGTGATTAACCCGATACAAAGCCCGATAAATCGAGTTTTGCTCACTTTTTCTATATTTTGCTGTTGATTTATCAATGTTTATTCTTTTAATGTGCCATAATAATAATAATAATAATGTTTATATCTTTTACTTAAAAGTCATTTAAGAAGATAAATAACCTGTTTGAGATTTTATGTTAACATTTCTATAGATTTTTCTTCTGTTGGAATGTTTCTAAATACTTTTAATGGTTTAAAATTAGTTTTTAAGTAATTTTTATATATCTAATTTAGAAAGATATAAGGATTCATGTAATTTAAATGTTTTATAAATCTTTAAGGCTATAATTTACTATTTCAGGAACTTATAAGCCTTAGAAAGTAATAAATATTCATCCCCTTACAATTTCTAGTCCTGTGATCATGATATTAAACTTTGTATATGTGATTTTAGAATGATTTTTATAGCATAAAGCATGTTTTAACATTTTACATATTTTAAATTAATCATATTAAACTTTTTAAAGCAAGTACACTTTAATTTATTCACATTTTAAGCTCATTTCAACGGTTCTTACACACAAAAAGAATCTATTTATTTATTTATTTTTACACATATTAAACTAAAATTTAATTATTTAAGCCAAATTAAAGTCCTTTATCTTATTATTAACATTGCAAAACCCTCTTCTGCTCTTCAAATTATAGAACAATGATTTTTAATATCTCGTCTACGAAATTGATAGAGCAGAAGCATGGTTAATTTTCTCTCCTCAAGAGGCTCCTATTGTAATAATTCCCTACCCTAATAAGGAGTTTAAACGGAATTTCGATTATCTGTAACCTATCAAACATATTAATGATCCCCTAATATTTTTTTTAACCTAAGGTAAGCCCTTTTCGGAGAGGAATATTATGCCCTTCAGCCACGTCCATCCGAAACAAAAGGTTGTTTACTATAATTCTATCCGATTCCCCTATATATATATTAATTATCGATTATCAAATGTATCTGTGTATTATTATTTTAAGATAATTTTACAAAGGGGTCGAAGCCTGCAGTTGCGATAAAGAAATATGCAAATTTTTAATGTTCTTTTATTAAAAAGGGGGGAAATGTGCGGCGCTATCCGTAGATAATCAATTATGATGGATGTTTTCGTTCAACAGAAAATGCAAGATTAATGAACTGTACAGTTTGTTTCCATTTTTCTCCCGTTTTTGTCATACTTACAACCTGTTAATAGCTAATCCATGGGATAATTACTCAAGACAAAATTTTGTCCAATTGTACAAAAATTCTTATCGCTCAAAACTTCGTCAATTGCAAAATGTAAATTATTGCAATCTAGATAGGAATTTTTTTTATTTATTTTCCTTGATTTTTCTTCTACAATCTACCTACTTCTACCTCTACTACCATCCTCCCTTCCCTCTTCTTATTATCCAATAAATCACAAGAGAGAGAAAACTTTTATAAATGAACTACTTCGTCGAATTGGCGTTAATTAAGGGGATTGTCCAAGGTTTTTATCACTTAAATATTTGTTTTTAATTAATCAAAATTTTCCGATTACGGTTGACAAAAAAGAAATCATTCATTCTTCACTCGTAACCGGGATTTTCGGGGCGTAATTGGTAGGAAAGTTTCCTCCATTTAATCAACTTATCCATGTGAATCTTCAGATTCGAACACTTACTTTATCTTTGTTTAGTATAGTGGTATATATAGAGATTTATAATTCGTATATACGAGTTATAAATCTCTAATTTTCTGCCTAAATGTTGACTCTATTAAATTTCTGAGCAAAAAATCAATGGGGTGAGTAGAGATTCCGAAGTGAAGCCCGTTATTGAATGATTATTATGAGTTTGTTCGTTAATTTTCGCGGTGAGCAAGTGTATTAATTAAATCTGATTAATCGCGTGATCGGTGAAGGAAATTCTTTAATGTTTCGTGTTGTAGTTATGTAATATTTATAGCTTAATTTATAACAATAACGCGACTATTTAGCTAACTGTATTTCTTCTATTGATCCCAATTAGAGATTGAGCCAACAAAGAAGTTTCGGCTCGGGAGGCCCCAAAATTTAGACTTTCATGTAAAAAAAAAAAAGATACGAAAATCACTAGAAGTGATGGAAAAATCTGTTTTGTGGTTTTTGTAGATGGGTAAAATCCGCTTTTGTGAAGGGCCTGAGTCCCCGTTTTACATATTGTAGGCTCTAGCTTTCAGAATTCTTAAAGGATGTCAAATCTACGAATGAAAATTTGAGATAAATTTAATAATTTAATAGCTATGAGTCAGAAAATTTGATAGGTTTTTTTTTGTGTGTGCATCTGTAGGCCNATTATAGAATAATGATTTTTAATATCTCGTCTACGAAATTGATAGAGCAGAAGCATGGTTAATTTTCTCTCCTCAAGAGGCTCCTATTGTAATAATTCCCTACCCTAATAAGGAGTTTAAACGGAATTTCGATTATCTGTAACCTATCAAACATATTAATGATCCCCTAATATTTTTTTTAACCTAAGGTAAGCCCTTTTCGGAGAGGAATATTATGCCCTTCAGCCACGTCCATCCGAAACAAAAGGTTGTTTACTATAATTCTATCCGATTCCCCTATATATATATTAATTATCGATTATCAAATGTATCTGTGTATTATTATTTTAAGATAATTTTACAAAGGGGTCGAAGCCTGCAGTTGCGATAAAGAAATATGCAAATTTTTAATGTTCTTTTATTAAAAAGGGGGGAAATGTGCGGCGCTATCCGTAGATAATCAATTATGATGGATGTTTTCGTTCAACAGAAAATGCAAGATTAATGAACTGTACAGTTTGTTTCCATTTTTCTCCCGTTTTTGTCATACTTACAACCTGTTAATAGCTAATCCATGGGATAATTACTCAAGACAAAATTTTGTCCAATTGTACAAAAATTCTTATCGCTCAAAACTTCGTCAATTGCAAAATGTAAATTATTGCAATCTAGATAGGAATTTTTTTATTTATTTTCCTTGATTTTTCTTCTACAATCTACCTACTTCTACCTCTACTACCATCCTCCCTTCCCTCTTCTTATTATCCAATAAATCACAAGAGAGAGAAAACTTTTATAAATGAACTACTTCGTCGAATTGGCGTTAATTAAGGGGATTGTCCAAGGTTTTTATCACTTAAATATTTGTTTTTAATTAATCAAAATTTTCCGATTACGGTTGACAAAAAAGAAATCATTCATTCTTCACTCGTAACCGGGATTTTCGGGGCGTAATTGGTAGGAAAGTTTCCTCCATTTAATCAACTTATCCATGTGAATCTTCAGATTCGAACACTTACTTTATCTTTGTTTAGTATAGTGGTATATATAGAGATTTATAATTCGTATATACGAGTTATAAATCTCTAATTTTCTGCCTAAATGTTGACTCTATTAAATTTCTGAGCAAAAAATCAATGGGGTGAGTAGAGATTCCGAAGTGAAGCCCGTTATTGAATGATTATTATGAGTTTGTTCGTTAATTTTCGCGGTGAGCAAGTGTATTAATTAAATCTGATTAATCGCGTGATCGGTGAAGGAAATTCTTTAATGTTTCGTGTTGTAGTTATGTAATATTTATAGCTTAATTTATAACAATAACGCGACTATTTAGCTAACTGTATTTCTTCTATTGATCCCAATTAGAGATTGAGCCAACAAAGAAGTTTCGGCTCGGGAGGCCCCAAAATTTAGACTTTCATGTAAAAAAAAAAAAGATACGAAAATCACTAGAAGTGATGGAAAAATCTGTTTTGTGGTTTTTGTAGATGGGTAAAATCCGCTTTTGTGAAGGGCCTGAGTCCCCGTTTTACATATTGTAGGCTCTAGCTTTCAGAATTCTTAAAGGATGTCAAATCTACGAATGAAAATTTGAGATAAATTTAATAATTTAATAGCTATGAGTCAGAAAATTTGATAGGTTTTTTTTTGTGTGTGCATCTGTAGGCCCACTCGCTATTTTGTT